AGATAGTGAGTATAGTCTAGGTTAGGGTTAGGTTTGGGTCTAGGGTAGAGCCATTGCGGGTCATCGCATGACACTGCATCACTGTCCTCTGAGCGCAAGGATGATTTGCTTCAACAAATCACTGACTTTTGTCATATGCCTGCTTCTGGCCGTCGATGCTCCCTTCGCCAGTTCCAAGAACTTGCAGGCACCCTGAACTGGTCATTTAATGTTTTTCCCCTTCTTAAGCCTGGCCTTTCGAATCTCTATGCGAAGATGAAGGGTAAAAACGAGCCCAATGCTCTTATTTTTGTTAATAAGGCCATCAAAGATGATCTCACCTGGCTCGTGCAACACCTACATGCATCTAGTGGTGTTTTCTTCATGGGGACGGAGAAATGGGGTCCTCTTGACTTGTATCGTGGAAACAAGGAGGATGAGATTGCGTATGTTGACGCCTCTGGCGCTGGCTTGGGTCTCTTCTTCCCTTGGCTCAAAGTTGGCTATCACTGCGATCTCCCCAGTGGTAATCTCAACTGAGCTCTCTTCGATGATAGTCACATTTTCTTTTTTGAAGCCCTTGCTGTTTGCTCTGCTTTCTATCAAGCTTGTGTCTGTCATATGAATGGTCGGACTGGCCCTCCTCAATGACTTGGTATTTTTTTGGATAATTCCAACGCCGTCCACATTTTCAACTCCCTTCATGCTCAACCACCTTACAATCCTATTCTGCGTTCCGCCATTGATGTTTCACTTGCCCATGCTATTGATTTCTGTGTCCAGCACCTCCCTGGATCACAGAACACCATCCAGTTTGATTATGCAAAATTGTTAGTCCCCGGCCTTAACATCTTTCATTTTATCCCCCCTCAATCTGTGCTGGGGGTTGTGTTATCATGACTTTTGATCTTTGGCAGTCACGTCAGCCTTTTCGCGACCCATGGCCGCTTGACCATCTCGTGCATGAGCGAGCCATTGCTCTTGGTCATGCTCTTGACCGGTCTACTCAGGACACCTACTCCTCCGCACTCAACTCTTATCTCACTTTTTGTCGCTCACATAACTTTCCTATTGAGCCTACTCCTGACACTTTCAGTTTTTACGCTGTCTACATGTCTTCCTTCATCAAACCTGATTCTGTCGACTCTTACCTCTCCGGCATTTGCAGCAACCTTGAACCCTACTTTCCTGGTGTCTGCCAAATCCGGAAGTGCCCCCTTGTCTCTCGTACCCTCCGTGGTTGTATGTGTCTCCATGGATCATCAATTCACCGCAAATGTGCCCTTACTACCTCCGACATCTAATTCGCTATTGCCCAGTCGCCCACCACCCCCTCTCAGGATGACCACTTGTTCCTCGCCCAATTACTCACCAGTTTCCATGCACTCCTTCACCTGGGCAAGCTTGTCTGGCCTGACTCAGTCTGTTTGTGTGACTTCCGCAAACTCACTCTATGACACACCGTCACCTTCACGCCGACTTCCTATGGTTTCCTCCTTCCCTCTCACAAAGCCGACCCTTTCTTCCATGGCAGTCAGGTCCTCATCATCAATCACCTTCACACTGCTGACCCTCACCTTTTCTTCCAATCCTACCTTGCTTCCTGTGACACCCTTTTCCCCCTCCAGCCTGAACTCTGGCTCTGCGAAAATGGTGCCATACCCACTCACACCTGGTTTATTCACCATCTCCAAACTCTTTTCCCCGATGATGTCACTGGCCACAGTCTGCGCTCCAGTGGTGCTACCGCTCTGGCCAAGATCGGCATGACCCCAGCTCTAATACAAGCCAGTGGTCGTTGGTCCTCGGACACCTTCCAGGCTTACATTCGCAAGCATCCTACCCTCCTTGCTGCTCTCCTGTTTGCACGAAATGCGCCTGGTGCCTCTACAATTGCGCCCTGAATTGCTCCCCTTTTTTCCTTTCTCTCTACCCATCTTCCAACTCATCTTATTAGGATTTAGCAGTCTTTCGAACCGAAAAAATGTATTTTTAGGGTGTCTCTGGTGGGCCAAAAGCCACCAGGATGCTGCGTCACGCCAAAAGATGTTTTTGAGAGTCCTCGCTTGGACAACAGTCCGAACCGCTGCCAATTAGAAACTGGTTATTCTATCACACTCCACATGTATCTCTCGGTACGGAGTATAAACAATTAGAATTAAAGATAAAAATAATAAAAAAGAAGCTCTAGCGCCAGGGCCACGTCAGCACTGCGTGACATGCATGTCACAGCTGGTCGCCCAAGAATTCTTTCTCGAGTTCTGAGCACGAACTTACTGTTTACTTTGGGAATTGATCCGACCTTATTGAGTTCCCAGGCAGCTTCCCACGTCATGGCACATCTGCTAATTTCTGTTTGAAAGTCGCTATTCACTCCTTTGGATCAGAGAAAAGCTTCGGATCAACTCGAAGGTAAGAAGATTCGATAGCGATGCGGTGGAGACATTTTCGTGCGAAGGTGCCATCGAGAATACTGAGATACTCTGCTCGGGCTCTCTTCCCCGGTCTGTCAGACGATTCGCATGTGGTCTATGTCTCATACACGTCAATTTATATACATAGAGAGCTTGCCCAGAGTATCTACGATGGTGGTAAGTATGTACACGATTGATTCGTCTTAGCGGCCCAAATCTAATCTCCTTGTAGTACAAACAAGGCCAAAGCCTCTTTTACATCTCTGCCACCGCTTGCTGCAGCACTAAGATTATGAAAGTCCTGCTCTCATAAGTTTTGCTCCCTGACCATGCGTAATCTTGCACTCTGGAAGAGTTCAACATATAATGTCGGCGGATTTTCTGCATCGAACGAAAAGCAGCAAATCTCTACCATCGCTGTTGATCTGGAACAAGATGTTTTATATGCTGCGACAGAAGTATACAGTGCAGGTGACATACGGTCAATAGACATATGGAAACTCGCGAGAGAGGGAGAAACGAACACTGTATGTCGCCCTCCTGAAAAGTTTCGGACGCATTAGAATCGTTCTCATAGGAAATTTCACCTGCCTTGACATGCTTCGCATCGTATCCAGTGATTGCGTCGATGCCAGAGAGCCCTTGGCCCACAGACCACACACCTCCATCAGAACTCGTCCCCGAAGTCGTCAATATGCGCCTGTTACCGGATATCGCTACGATCGTCCTCACAACTCGCTCAGGAGAGATTGTCACATTGTCGTTGGAGGATGATCGCCAGAAGGTACGTACGTGGAGCGGATTTTTAATTGTACGTAGTGGTGAATCCTTCCACTTCATTATGTACACTCGAGAAGTTGATTTTAGCTGGTGTACACATGTCTCAAGTCAGTTCTGTGGTGGCTTACATTACCCTCGTTGTTTAGCCTGAGAGTGTCGGGTCTGTTGATGGAGGCATTTTAGCTGCCACATGGAGCCCAGACGACACACTTCTTGTAATTATTACTGGTAAGCAATTTGTATAGCTACGCGTATGCTAATTCGAAGCATTATACCAGGGGACGATAAGCTCCTCCTCATGACATCTTCATTTGATGTAATCTTTGAGGGACCGCTTCATCCAGATGATTTTGGAGAAGGTATGGGCCGTATCAATTCAATCCTGGGCTGCGTATTGAATGAACGACGTCTTGAGATGCGCCAATCGCGCTCGGCTGGGGCGCAAAGCACACTCAATTTCATGGCTCACTTGGAAAAGGTGCTGCACAAGCCGCGCTAGATTTATCAGAAGTTGGTTCCAGCCCTGATGACGACGGGAAGCCCCGCGTCAGCTGGAGAGGAGACGGGGCGTTTTTTGTTGTTTCCACCATATTTCCACCTTCGGTATGTTCTTCCGAAGCCGATCTTTTTCTTCAGCGGAGGCCGTCTGGTTTTTGTGTCGCTCGCATTCATTCAATTTCCGGTAGACCCCAAACACTCGGGCTCGTCGAATTCTTCGAATATATTCTCGTGAAGGACATCTATCGAGTAGTTCAGAACCTGTGGCTGGCCTCGAGCACACGCTCTCGTGGCGTCCATCCGGTAACCTCATAGCAGGAACACAGCGCTACGGCAGCGACGGGCTCGGAAAAGGCAAGGAGGGCCGTCATGACGTCGTCTTCTTTGAACGCAATGGTCTCAGACACGGTGATTTTGGACTTAGAGAGAACGCTCAAGGGAACAAGAGCCAGCCCCCTAGAGTCGACACAAAGCGGCGGAGATACAAAGTTCAAGAACTTAGTTGGAGCGCTGACTCAACTGTCTTGAGCGTGTGGGTTGCTGGAGACGATGGGGATATCGGTGAGGGTATTTGTCTTGAGCTATTCTGCTTACTCTTACTCACCTTCATGTTCATGATATGATATGGCATGCAGTGCAACTTTGGACGACCGGGAACTATCACTGGTGCGTTCTCCCATATGAGAAGTATTCTAATAATTATATATGCAAGATAGGTATTTGAAGCATGAGATCACGGCTCCCCGTTCGTCGTCGGGAGATCCTGGTCGCTTCACTTCAGTTTTCTGGCACCCCGAAGAGGCTTTGAAAATCATACTTACAACTCCCTGTAAGTAACGGCGTTATTAGATTCCTGAACTATCTAATTCTATGACGGATATGCAGCTGAACTGATAGAGCGAGTGTACACTTGGGAGACGTACACATCGATAAGCACCGTCCCGAACGATTCAGGGTCCGTCGCCGTCATTGATGGTTGTACGTGTTTCCGCCGTGCTTCGCTATACTTAGCAAACAGACCGCTCATGAGATTCCATACAGCAAACATTCTCCTCACACCCTTTCGTACTCAAAATGTGCCTCCCCCAATGGCGTCTCATACCCTGTTTTTATCTGCGTCGACGGATCTCATGTCACAGACAAATCTGAGAGTGACTGTTCCTCTTCACACATCCTTTGCGACGACGCATGATCTCCTTGTATTGCTCTGGGAGTCTGGATACGCTGAACTATTTGATCTGCGGACGCGTCTTAGCCCCGGTCGCGGAAAGGTAATGGATCCATTGACAATGTGGACAGGTCAAGCCATCGTTGCAGGTTCAGAAGGTAGTAGTCCAACATGCCGGCAAGTAATTTTGTTGAGCGACCGGCACTTCGAGGCGCAACCAAATGGAAATGCCGCAGTCCGGCTTGCTATTCTGTCCAATATTGGTAACAAATGCGATGTCGTTCATATCATCACTATCGAGGCTGGTGAGCTAGCGGGTCGGTGTGCGGTCGAAATGCCTGGGCTGCATGGTCGATTAAGTCATGCTGGCTCAACCATTGTTTGGCAAGCTGCCGATGGTACCCTGTATGATGGTGCGCCCGCTCACTTGTGACTTAAGTAATGCTTATCTTTAGACTCAAATAGTGAATTTCGACGCATGCAGGGAGTTATTGGCGCGCTTCCCGGAGTTCTGCTACTCTGCAACGTCTGCATTTTCCGTCATGGCCGATGTCGCTTCGGACGCCAAGAGTCCAAATCCCAAGGATGTAGTGTATATTGGCCTTGGTCCGAGTGGGCACTTGCACGTAGCTGTCGACAACGGCACAACGCGCTCCGTTGCCACGAATGCTACTTCCTTCATAGTTGCATCGGGCTTCCTCATCTATACAACGACGGCGCATGTTGCTCATTTTGCTCCTATAAGCCGCCTGCACGAGATCTGCTCAACGTCTGTCGAATCCTTGTCACCTCTCCCAGAATGGGAAACTAGGCGAGTGGAGAGGGGATCGAGAATTGTGACCGCTGTGCCGAGTGCTATGAGTTTAGTGCTGCAGATGCCTCGCGGAAATTTGGAAACCATTAATCCGAGACCTCTAGTGATGGAGATCGTCAAACAGGACATTGATAAGTGAGTTGAACCCGCCTCTACACTTTTGTTCTTCTCAGCCTGAATGCCACAGTCGAAATTACCGCAAGGCGTTTCTCGCGTGTCGGAAACATAGGATCGACCTCAGTGTTTTCGCCGAGTATGGGGGAGACGTTTTCAAAAGCCAGCTGCAACGATTCGTGGAACAAGTTGACGAGGTTGATTATATCAACTTGTTCCTGACGAGTATTGGGTATGTTCTTTCTGGCGTGATCACTGTATGTCTAACCTCTTTTCAGGCAGAGTTCACTCCCGGCGGATCTTGTCACAAAGCTCTGCGATGGCATTCGTGCGGAACTGGAGAAAAGGGATTTGAAGAAATACGTCAGTTGTATCCTGACCACTCATGTCGTGAAGAGGCCTCCAGATCATGAGGCTGGACTTTCCCTCCTCCTTCGCCTTCGAGGTTAGTTGACAACCCTGCTCAAGATGATGATTTTAATACCGGAATGCAGATAGCGAACCGCAGCTCGTTGAGGATGCTGTCAAATACATCATTTTCTTGGTCGACACAGACCGACTTTTCGACACCGCTCTTGGAATGTATGATTTTTCACTCGTCTTGATAGTGGCACAGCATGCCCAAAAAGTGAAGAAATTGTGGTCGACCTTGTTTTCATCCATATACTGACCGCAATGCACAGGACCCGCAGGAATATCTGCCTTTTCTACGTGAATTACGGTCGCTGGAACATCATTATCAAAGGTTCCGGATAGATGATCATCTTAAACGCTATGAGAAAGCGTTGCAAGATCTCGCCGATGCCGGTATGCGCCTATCGACGAGATCCTGTGGATGACACTGCACACTAATTTCGCTGCAGGTCAGGAACGATTCGAGGAAGCGATGGCATATGTAGAGAAGCATCGACTCTATGAGTCGGCCTTGGCTATCTGGCTCGGGAGCGACCGTTATTCTGTAAGCTTTGAAATTGAAAATCATCATGGGTCTTGTCTTACATGTCGCCAGTCCGTGCTCAGTATTTACGGCGACTGGCTATTTGAACGAAGAGATTTTAGAGAAGCGGCTTTTGGTTTGTGCTGTTGGTAGATGAGCAGCTCAGGTCCTGATCATATGCTCTAGTATTCCGACAGGCGGGAGTACCACTGAAGGCGATGGCCGCACATGAGAAGGCTCTTGAATGGAAAGATTTGTTTGAACTGGCAATACAAGAATCGATGCCCTCAGAGGAGCTCATTTCCACCGCATATCGTGTTGCTGGTATGTGACTGACAAGGCCGATGTTTCATCATTCATGAATGTTCCTTTCAGATGATCTATCCTCCAAGAAGCGTTATGCAGATGCTGCACAAGTTCTGCTTGACTATGCACAGGATGTCAGGGAGGCTATCAAGATTCTTGTCGAGGGTAGCTTGTTTTCGGAAGCACGTCGCATTGTTAGTATCCCTTTTTTACGTCCGTTCATCCTCCTGACGTCCTCTGATGCAGATTGCTCTGAAATCCCGTAAGGAATTGCTGGAAGAGCTCGTATATCCTGGCACTCTGGACTGCCGTGCGCAGATTGCCGAAGACATGCATGAAATGCGAGAGCAGCTCCGCAAGCAGGTGCAGCGCATACGCGAGCTGCGTGTGCGTAAGGTGGAAGAACCTGGTGTGTTCTCGCTTTTCTCGGCATCTTGTCGCCCATAAAACTAATTTACGTGTCCAGATGCGTTCTACGGGAACGAGGACACGGACTTGCACAATGTCGACGTGATGACCGATGTCTCCATGGCCCCCACCACCTTCACGCGCTATACGCAAGCACCGACGGCGATTTCGCGGACAACGTCAAAGTTGGCCTCTTTTGCCTGTTCTCCTAACAATGGCGTCGCGTATTAACGCCCTCCGTAGACGCAGCTCCCGTTCCAAACGGAAGCTCGAGCGCAAAGTCGGCTCGGGGCGCAAAGGGACCGTCGACGAGGAAGAGTACCTGCTCAAGTCCGTGTCCAAGCTCGTCGTGCGGTTCAACGCCTCCCAATGTAAGCCCCCTGCTGACCTATCCAGCGTGCGGTCAGCTGATCTGGTCGGGTTGGTGTAAGCGGACGCGGCGGCGCTCCTCCCGCATCTGTTCCAGTTCACCGAGGAGCACCGGACCGAGGCATGTGCGCTGCAGGAAGAGCTTCGCGCGTTCGAGGCGGAGCTGCAGGCCGCCGTAACGGAGATATGGACGCGGACGCCTGCCGATAGTGCCACGAGCGCGGGCGAGGGGGACGGCGGCCAGAGCGAGAACGCCGCGGCGGACGGCTGGGCGGCGCGGATGCGCGAGTATGAGCGGCAGCGGCAGGTTGATCCGCTGGAGAAGGTTGCGCGGCCGGAGCTCGCGCGGCCGGAGTGGACGCTGAAGGTGCCTGGGGTGAGTGTGGGCATGGGCGGTGGCGCGTAGCAGCGAGCTGTGGAAGATCTAAAGTCGAGCAAGAGCAAAAATGTAGCGATTCGTTAAACGTGTAGCCGATCTAACTGCCCGGGGACGTACATGTATGAAAGCTAGAGCGAGTGTCCTGTAGGAAAGTCTAGTGGTATCTCGTCATATTCGAGCGTGTAGCGTATACTGGCTGGTGTTCCCGACGTTCCAGCGGTCCGCGACAATAAGCGCAGTTCGAATTTGCGATGGGCCGGGGCTGGCGTCAGGATAGAGCGGAACCACTCCGACGAGGTGCTCGTGTCCTCCAAATTAACACTTGGATCCTTACCCTATACTGAAGCAGTGCCGGGATCAAAACTAGATAATCGGGTATAGAGCAAGCAACCAATACGAGGGAGCGGCTCACATATATAAAATTTTGGTACGTTTTTGTTACGCTAGAGGCTCAATCCGACTAAAGAGATAAAATAGGTGCATCTAGCGATCATGATTATTTAAGTATGTAGGGTATCGGGGATCGGGGTAGTACACATACATGACAACGAATATTCACGACAAGATGCCAAGTACACATAATGATACAAGTTATAAACATAGGTAGGTAGTTGTGCAGGTGAAAGTCCCATCCAATCCGGTCGCAGTAGCTGTACACTTCATCATTCATCCCCAACAGCGCATCCGCACTCAGTGGTGCGAATCGCCAGACTGCCGCCGCGCGAGCCACTCGTCCCACATCCGCCCTCGCTCACTCGCGGAGCCCATGCTCTCCGCAAACCGCACGACCCGCCAGCAGTCCTGGAAGTCGCTCGCAAGCCCGAGCGATATCCGTACGACGCCGAGCTCGCGGCCCATATGTGCCTCGAACGCGTGCAGCGACGCATCATGTGGAAGGGCAGCCATGGCGTCCTGCAGACCGAGGAGCGCCGCGGCGCCGCCAGGGTTGCACATACACCCCGTGCGTAAGGAAATATTTTGTTGTGCGGCGGCATATTCGATGAACGAGTTGGGAATCATCTCGCCGGAGGGCTGTATGGAGTGTTAGAGAAGGATAAACAACAAAAAGGTGGAGACACTCACGAAGAGGAAGATAAGCGAGACGACAGAACCGGTGTCGCTCTGCTCGCCGACTGCTCGCAGCCGTTTTGTTGGAAGACGGGAAAGAAGGCGCACGACAGGCGCGTCCGAGCCTTCGTGTCGAAGCTCGTCGAGGGAGCCAGTGAGGTAGTGCATGAGGCACGAGAGGCGAAGGGGAAGGAAGGGGAGGTACGCCGAGAGGAAGCGCAAGCCATCCGTGATCGCAGGCAGATTCAGATAGTTGATAGTTCCATCCTGTCGAGCACCTGTGAGACTCATGCCCAATAATGGAGAAGAATGATCGTCTCACCTCGAAGCGCTCCCTCAGGTCATCTTTCATGGTGACCACGTTACCCGGGGCCTGAACCACATCCACGGTCCCACCGGCAAACCATGGCCGCTCTAGCCGCTCGAGCACGCTCTCTCGCACAATGAGCGCACCGACGCCCGTAGGGAATCCGAACATCTTGTAAAAGCTCACGGCGAGCGCATCAACAGGCGTCTCGGCGAGGTTGAACACCGACGTCGGCGCAAGCGCGGCTGCGTCGAGAAGTGTGCAGTATCCTAACGATGAGGCGTGGGCAAGGAGGGAAAGCGAGTTCTTGGTGTTCGAGATGTTCGATTGTCCGGTAAGCGCAAAGAGCGACGGGGGTGACTTGCGGTGGCGCGGATGGTGTCGAGTGAGAATCTCCTGTACACGCCACGACATAATTAGCACGGATATCAATTGCTCACGATGACAGGACCCGTACCTTTGTTTCATTCACATCAACGCCGCCCCTCTCCAGGGCATCGATATAGTGCACGTCAGCACCTTTCGAACGGGCGAACTGGCGGAGACCGTGCACACTATTGTGCGAGTCCGCTGCGAGTACGAGCGCACCCCCTGCTGAGAACGGGAATGCTTCACCGACTAGCTTGAGTGCACCGGTGGCGTTTGCCGTGAAGACAACAGTATACCCCGGAGGTGCACGGAAGAAAGACAGGACGGCAGCACGCGCTTCTTCTGCGCAGACAGAGGACATACGTGATCTGGAGGCGCATGGGAATCAGCAAACAGGAATGATAGCACAAGTTACGCCGGAAAGGGAAAATTAGAATGATGGAGTGAATGTGATTACGCCGAGGAATGATGCCAGTACGCAATGCACCAGACGGACAGACAGACTTCATGAGCACAGCCCACGTATCAGCCGCAGATGACATGGCACATGAGCGGCAGTAGAAGAATACATTTCGCTAGAATAAGGCACATTGACCGCATACCAACATGCTCCCCACCTCATGGAGCGCCGCGGACTGGGCGGGGTGGCGGAGTCGGAGATGGTGGGGGTAGCGGATCAAGATGCAACAGCCCAAATGAGGCAATCATATCCTGCATAGACAATCACGTGCGCATATCCGCTTAGCGTCAAAGGGCGAGCCATGGTGCCGGAGCAGATGCCGAGATGAGGAGGGTGTACGCGCGAAGCCCAAGGGCGAAGAAGGCGCGAAACGGGTGGCAGTGAACCCGCAGCCGCCGCATGCTGACACACGGGTGCGGACACACCGCCACGGACGCGAACGCGAACGGGCACGATCGAGATGAATGAAATGAACGAGAATGAAGACTCACGCGTTGCTGACGCTGTGCGTGTTCCCGAGCACGTTCCGCTGCAGGAACCCAGTGTGGACCCGGATGAGGCTCTCGGGGTAGAGCGACCCACCCATGTAGTCCACGTACGTCTCGCCAGACCGGTCCAGGCGCGAGAAGTCGGTGCGCCGGAGGATGTCCAGGATCCAGGTCAGCTGGTATTCGGGATACACCTTGAGGAAGTTGCGGTAGGCGGCGGCGGGGCGGTCGTCGAGCAGTTCTGCAGTCGAGGTAGAGAGGGCATACAAAGGAGGCGGGTCGAACGAGCGCTTCCTGTGCAGGGCCTGGTGCGGGGTGTGGGCACCGAGCTTCTCGTTGTCGGACAGGTCGCGCTCGGAGGAGGATGTGGTGGTGAGGGAGGCACGGTCGCAGCCTTTGATGGGGACAGGGTATGGGATGTGGGGGGGCTCGTCGTCGAATGCGGACGCTGAGGTGCAGCCGAGGGTGAATGCAGAGCGTTTGCGAGAGAGACGGGGTGGGTGGACGTGCTGGTGCTGGTGCGGGTGCGGGTGCGGGTGCGGGTGCGGGTGGGGTTGCGGGTGCGACTTGGGGTGCGAGTGGGAGCGAGGGATGGAGACAGGTACAGGCTGAGGGTACATGTCTACGGAAGAGGAGTGGTTGTTGCCCATGGTGCAGCGGCTGGAAGGGATAGCGGTGGTGCGAGTCGGCTTTTGGACCTCGGGGAGGATGGGGAGAGGGGGAGTCGCAGACGGGTTTATATACGGGGAGGGGGGGACCGGTGCTTGTAGTAGACAGCGAGGGCGAGTCCGGCGCTCATCTGAGGCGGAGAGAGAGCAAGGACGAGATTGACCATGGCTGGAGCGGGCAGGGAGGTTGACGCCGGGCTACTGTCTGGTTCCCAAGCCACCTGCCAAATCCGGACAGTCGGCCGCGGCGAGGTGGCACCGCGCCGACGCGAATTCATTCTCCTTTGGCGGGAGGATCTCGATCGGAGCTGAATATCTTGTGGATCTTAACCACGGATCGACATCCCCAAATCCGCACGGACGCCCAGAATGCGCCTTTCCTCCGAACAGACCTCCGGCTCGGCGCGCCTCCCCGCCCCGCTGTCCGCACCCGGCCCCGCTCCTGGAATCTCCGCCTTCCCCGACTGCCCGCCTGGCGGGGAACCCCTCCGGAGGGAACGACCCTAATTGGGACATTCCACATCTCCCGTCCTGATCCCATGATGGCCCAGAATACTTGCGCTTACCAGACCCGGCATCAGCTTCCGCTGGGTGTGCACACTCCGTCGCCAGCTCCCAGCGGCACTGCATGCCCCGGGTGCACTAGTTTTGTCTTTGTCCCATCCATGATGGCCTTGTGTCTCAATACCGCACCCAATAGCCCAGCTCCTGCCTGCCAGCTGCCTGGCCCACCCCTCTGCGAACAGCAACAACAGTCCAAGTCACAATCCTGGCTGACTCCCGCCTCGGCTTCGCAACAACAGTGCCCCCGCTCCCCAGCTGCCCATCTTTGGCACACGCTTCTACTCACGATCGGACCCTGTACACGCATCTCCAACACAAGCTGCATTAGCTCCAGCACCGTAAGGACACGCACAGGCATGAGCATGAGCATAAGCATGAGCTAAATCTTATCATACCTCTCCCGATCCCTCTGCTTTCCCTGCCGTAAAGCGACCTTCCTTGCCTAGCACGCTGGCAGTGAAGCACGAGCTACTCATGTCAGCATAGCCACGTATACGTACACCCTGCGAATGGCGCGCAGCGCATAATGGATAGATCGTGCTTAGTGCTATGCACATCGCTGTCAGCCCCGCCCCGCCTATCGCATCTCATCTCCATCTCGCATCTGCCCTCGTCGCCTCCCGCGACGTTCTCGCCTGCTGCCCTCCCTCCTTCGCGCGCCGCACGTCATCCGTGCTTTCCATGCACCACCACATGCATTTAATGTCACGTCCCTGCGACGGTGCTGCGATCATCGCTCCAGTGGTGATGCGTTCATGTCTTGTTGATCGCGACATATTACAACATACCATCATTACACATCGACCCAGGTCCCAGTTCATTTAGAACCATGTCACGTCACGCATCACCTGCCAAATCTGTCAGGAGTCTTGACAACTTATTAGCACTTCCTGTGCATTCACTACCCTCGCGCCACCGCCAACCACTACAGCTAATGTTGCCCAAGTCGAACATATGTTGGTTTCCAACGTTCCGGGTATCATAGCGAAATTGCGTGTGTACGACATACGTACGTACGTATGACTCCGCGGCCCTTGTCTCGCGTCTTCTAGTAAGCGCGTTCCAATTAGACCTGCCATCGCAAAGGGAGACTGGACATGGTGCAGTGCACGCCCGGAATGGGAAAGCAGAAAAGAAAAGAGAAGAAACACACACGCCCAGCCCGCACTATCCACGTCCACTCACACCGAACCCATCCCGATCAGTCACGGCGGCCCATAGTGCTTGTCCCGCATACATACACTCAGCGCCAACATGTAAGCGCCCCCAGCACGTCCGAACTCAGACTCGCAGGGCCAGTCGGAGTTGCCGTTTTCGTTGATTCTCCTTCTCTTTGTCACAACCAAAGGAGGTTCTGAGTGCGAAAGAAAAGAACGTGTTCCAACAGCAGTCTCCAATGCATCAAGGCCGACAGCTGGATAGTTTGCGTCCACATCTTGTGCATCACCTCTAAAATCAATAGCGTGAACACCAACGATTGGCGCACTCCGTGCTCGATTCCAAAATAGTACCATGAGTTGATTGGCCCTCCCGAGAGGCAAATACCCAAGCTCACAGTATTTAGGACTGCAGGTTTCTCAGGCTCAATGGCGCACACTCATTCAATTTGTAGAGTGGGCATCAACTCTCTGATGTCACCATGATGGCCATCCACCATCCTGGAGCGAACGCGCCGAACCCAGCGAGTCCGTTGTACGCTCGTGATGGATCAAACCACTCGCGACACGATAACAGGTCGGCCATCCACCACCCTGGAGCTAACACGCCAGATCAGCGAGTTCATTGTGCGCTCGCGCTGGATCAAACTATTTGCGACCCTGCCCAGGTCCTCGGCGAGGACGTGCCTATCGCTGCCCAACTCTCCAGGATCCCGAACGCGGCAAGGGACGAAGGAGAGGTCCGAGGAGAGGTACTGGCCCCGGGGCCGCCGCATCGTGACAAGGCACGCCCCATATAGCCGGCCCCACGTCTGCATTCGCTACAAGGGTACGGTCCTGCGGGCCATCATCGCCCTGATGCTGCGCCACCACCTATTTCCCTGGCGCGCTGATGGCCATCGTCCCAATCCCGCTCCTCCTTCGTGCAGGCGCCCAGCTCGACGGCCCCGCCCGCGGGCCTGGGGCAGCGGGAAATGAAGGCACGCGCCGGCCAATCCGCACACGATCGCCTTCTTCGTCCTCGCCCCCTCGTATCTCCAGATCGCGCGCCGCCCTTCACAGCTGCATGGGCTTCTTCTCTCTCCCCCCCTCGACCAATCGCCCTGGGCGTGCGATGGCGCGGGACCAGTCGGGTGATGTGCGTGGGGTGGCACATCACGCAGAACGTGGCTCGTACGCTCCGACATAGCAACCCTTGTCTCTCCCCTCTCCCCTGGTTCTCCGCAGTCCCATCCAAGACCCCACCGCCGGCAGAGTCCACAACACAGTGCGCCACTAACAGTTCTCAGCGGCCGAGCGCCAGATCCAGAGTGCCGGGCGTTGTATTCGTCTCCAGCGCCGAACACGAATGTTTAGAACACCGAGTACAGAGCCCGGGGCGCAGCGCGCCGTTCCGTGTGCAGGCCCGAGACGGCCGAGGTCGCGTCCCAGTGACCAACGTCGCTCCCAGCCCATTCACTCGGAACACAAGCACACAAGCCCGCGGGCCATCCCCACAACCCCCGCACAACACGCGGTCCATCTATGTGCACCTCGCCTAGCCCCGCAGCGCGCATCGCCCCTATCACATATCTCGCGCTACCTTCTGCGCGGCACGCGGCCGGAGATGGGGCGCACGACACGCAGGCGCGGACTCGGATTCAGACTCGGAGCACAAGACGCTGCTAAGCATAGCACGCCTCTTCCCGCGGTCGACCGCGCCCTTGGAGCAGAGCGCAGCAGCGCGGCCTCGGTAGATCTCGCGCTCGACCTCCGAGTCCGCGCCACCCAGGCATCCGGATCCCCATGCGCGTGCGCGTGCGAGTGCGAACGCGGGGCGTGTGCCAGGGCTGACTCAGTGTGCGAGTGCCCACATAGATGCAGACCGAGACACACGCACCGCACCTAGGGCCTGGAGCTGAAGGCCCGGCGAGAGGCGGACGCGTTCGGGTGTGCTTGGGCGGAACACCAGTGGCACCCAGGCGAGACTCGTCGTCAGGCGCCCCATCCCGCAGAACACCGTGATAGAAGCCAGGCTATCGCCACGCGGCCGTGACCGCACATCGGAGATGGGCTCGCAGGTCTCTCGACGGATCACGTCCCAACCGCACGCACGGGCGCGCGGAGCACTGGCGTCCCGCGAGCCGCGCCGCCCCGGGCTCGGAAGAGCTTGTCGGATTCGAGTCGATGGGTTTCAGCGAGGGCGTGCGTGACAAAGACAAGAACGCAGAGACAAGCACAGGTCTAAGCAGGAAAGCTGCATGCCGCACGCTCCGCGCGTGGGTTCGCATTCGGGGAAGAACTGGCTGGGGCCCTTCTTCTGTCCGAATCCAGTTGTGCCGGCCGCATCTCTGGCTCCCATTTGCGACGCCCGCGCTCGACGAGCGCGGGCCGCCGTTGGGCGCGGAGGGAGTGGGCTCCTGGTTCCATTTTCTGTCCTCCGTGCTGGGAGCCCTTTGCGGTACTGCTAGCATCTGAAATGACGCGTTTGGCGAACTCGGCTGCCTCAGGCGGTATGCCCGCCCATTGGCCCGGCAAGCACTTTTGAATGGGTTTGAAATTGGACCCTTTGCGAAAACCACATTTTCGGTGGCGTTCTCCCTCCTGATGCTGGGCTCGCACGCGTGCTCGTAGCGCCTGCGTGCTCGGACGTCAGAATACTTCTAGTGCGATCCCGGCGTTCGTCCATTTCTTCAGCTCTTCGCTGTGCCACCTTCCGTTCGCTCGACCTTCCCGTCCCGGCGCACGCGAGCGTCTCCCGCCCGGGCGATGCAAGTGAGAGAAGGGCTTCCTTACCACCAGCTGTGCCCGAGTGTCGTCCTATCGGCATGCGAGTATGGCCCACATCAGACGACGATAAAGTTTGACAGCTAACTCGAAGGCGAGAGACATTAGCACGAAGAACAATGATTCGAGAAATTCCAAGTCATCACCTAGAACAGCCATTCACTGCAGCAACGTATCACGTCGGACGTACACTCACGTCGTGAGCGTTCCAGGCGACGGCGAAAGATGATCAGTCAGTGCTTGCGGCTACTACCACTAACCAATAGCGCACCTCTTACTGCCCCCTCGTAGACTCCTGGTCCTGCACAAGATTCAAAATTTGCCCCAAAATGGATACAAGATGTAGATGTGTTCGGGAGCTGGCCTCTCATGAGTACTCCTCGGCGGTATCCTCAAAGGTATTTGAATAATACACCCTTTGTTGTGAGTCTCGCCGCACCATGATTCTCGTCTTGCCGTTCGAAAGGCTCGCCAACGAGATCAGATAGCAGCCCAAAGGATCCATCGTGATAACGCACCTGAAATTCTCGATTGCATGCTGCGCACCGCACACATGGCGTAGCACGGCAAGGAACCCGTCAGCCAAAGAACGGAAGTGTGTCCACCAGATGCGTCTTGCGTTCACATTCACAGAGGAATGCCAAAGCGTTCAGTCACCAGTACGAGGACGAGCGTGTCTTCAAGCAGCCACGTGTCTCCTGATCGCGAAATCAGAGAACTTCAAGAGGCGCACGACGTACGGCGAGCTTGAAGTTCCTGGCCGCATGCTGCGTGCCGTACATATAGTGTAGCGTAGAAAGGAACCCCCACCAGCCAGAGAACGGAAGCCTGGTGTCCACCTGATGCGTCTTGCATTCGCGTTCGCAGAGGAAGACCAGTGTGTGCGGTGTAAGGACGAACGAACCGCGTCTTCCAAGTCCAACAGCCACGTGTCTCCTGGTCGCGAATTCGGAGAAGCGCCCAAGGAGTTTTCTGCAGTCGCATTAGGGCTGCTCGTTCGCCGCTCGCTCGTTGACTGAGATAACCTAATGTAGCAAAGGTCTCGAACGCCGTTTCACTTCCTTTGCCGGGAACTCTTTCCAATATGGGGCGAGTGAGCGACATGTGGACACGATTGAGCAGCCCTGTTCGGGGTGTCGGTGTCGGTGGCGTCGACATCCGAGCTGGGGGAAGGCACAAGTTCTGGCATTGGGGACATCGAGCTGAGGCAAGATTTGTCTGCCATGAGATCTATGAGGATCGACCAGACCTCATACCAGTAGAGTGCCTCAAGGTTACGAGGATCAAACTTTCGAGAGATAGCAGCAACAGCACAAATCTTCCGTTTCTCTCGACCTGGCGCGACTGCACTGTGAGCACAAATCTGGCTTGGGAAATATGAGGTGGGGGATGAGGTCTCCTAGTGAAAACCGACATGATTTGGAATCAGAAACTGCCATGTCGCGCATAATGAGAACAAACGAGATCATGATAAACATATGGGACCCATTGAGCAATTGATGAGAGATCGATCGACGGGGACATCTTATCGGGGCGCGCATCACGTGGGATGAGATTGAAAGCGCCGTTTCATTCGCCAGTCCCCAGGTAGACTGTGCGCGGCCGAGTCTCCATCGCGTACCAGCACATACATGTATGTACCAAGCACTTGGCACCATACAGCTTCAGGACAACATGTCGGGCCAAGCACGATCGCCTGCAACGCTCTGGCACGTCCTCACGGGCGCCATCGCCATTGATCACCAGCCCCCAATGATTCCTGCCAACTCGCCGCGATGGACCCAGAGCGCGCCGCAGCGCGATGGGGCCGTTTCTGTGCTCCCAATGGCGAGGGAGGCTTTCAGGTGTGTCGGACAAGGCTGGGTACTGAGTCGCCGAGTCAATGCCCATCAGCAGAACTAGCCGACCGCTAGAGACTCTCGGGAGACTTCAAGGGTCCTGCCTTCGTGATGTGATGCGAGGCTTTCTGAGCTCTGCGATTGGTGGGCCCGCGCATCTTGCTTTCCAAATCCGGGCTAAGTCACCAACACAAATCGTCCACATCTCGCCCGCTGTTCTCCTGATGGCC